TGTGTGTGTGTGTGAGTGTGTGTGTGTGTGTGAGCGATATTCGCTTGTAACAGTAACACCCCTAATCTCCGGCACTTTTTCGATCTCCCTGTGTTGCAAATCCCGTAAAACTCTTACTAAAACTAAAACAGAGATTTTAAAAAACCAAAAAACAAGCAGGGTACGCATGTCGGGGATGCCACGAGGATTTTGTGAAAATACCTGGAGATTTGCGAAGCAATAAGAAAAAAAAAAGAAAAAATGAACAAGTTGCTGGCCGCTACAAACGATAAAATGGGGACCAATGAGAATTTTTCTCAAAAACCCAAACAACAAAACAAATAAAAAGTCAAAAAGAAAGTTATCTTGACCAAAGTGTATGGAAACTGAAGACAGCTCAACTTCAAATGACCCCGTTTGCATTTAGCAAAGATGTTAGTTTTTTCTGTTTCGTTTTGGTTCGGGTGCTGTTTTTCTTTCGGTTTTTTTTTTAATTTCCCCTGGTATGTGTTGCACCTCTGTCCGTTCCGTGTACAAAGATCGCATCAACAGAAAAAATGTTCATATAGTGCAAGAAAATGGCCTGACTGACTGGCAGAAAAAAAACAACTGTCCACATTTTACGCTCCTACCGATATAATATTATAAAATGTATTTCATTTACGAGGCGGGCTGCTTTGATTTTTATCGCCTGAGTATACAAAAGACCAAACTTTACTAAATGTGATTCCGATCGCTAAGCTTTGGGGGCTGTGTGAGTCAGGATTGCTGCTGAACCGATCCGATTTTTAGTATTAGTATGAGTTTTACGGCACTTGCAACGCAAATATGGCCATATAAATGCCCAAGATCATTAGAAGTGTAGCAAAAGAGTATCAAACACAAACAAACAGGAGAGATAAGGACGATAAACGTTTGATGGAAAAGAAGGAGCAAACCACGCCAGAGCACTGGCCTACCACCCATTATCCGATCCGATCCGATTAGTTCTGATTAAGCAATCCCTATAAGTAGGAGGAGAAACAGTACTCCCAAGACGGTCAGATAGTATAATATGAACGTATAGAGCACTCCCCATTACTGCGATATCTTATCGAGTTTACTTCAAGTTCAAGTAAAAACAGCGCACCCGTATGGCCTTATCCCTAATGCAGTTGCATAAAAAAGCGCCGTGAGAGGAGTACAAAATTTAAAACACACTGATAGACACAGGACCGGCCATTTGATAAGCGGAGGAAAAAAAAACAAGCAACGACATGATAACGAATATTTAGTGCTGAGTAAAGTTAGACAGATTTTTTTTTACAAATTCAACAACAATAACAGCAGCAGCAGTAATAATAGAGGGCACAAAAAAAATCGAACCAATAATTAGCGCCCTCAAATTTCAATAACCCACAAGACGGACGGACGGACATATAAAACTGGTCAGTACAGAAACA